CAGAACGGTTTGGGTTGGAAGGGAGCTTAAAGCTCATCCAGCTCCAACCCCTGCCACAGGAAGGGCACCTTCCACTAGAGCAGCTTGCTCCAAGCCCTGTCCAGCCTGGCCTTGAACAGTGCCCAGTCAGCCCCAGTGCTGGGGACAAGGGGGCTCTGTCACCACCCAGGTACTGCAAGGGTTAAAAGCATCCCCACACAGAGGATGCCCCAGGACTCACCTGCAGCAAGGCCTGGGTGGATGGAGGTCTCCTTGGGGGTGCCGCTGCCCTGAGGAGCATCTTCAAGGCTGGATCCCACATGGTAGCTGAAGTGAGAAGCCTTTCCAAGGCTGGCCCTTGCTCATCCCACCTCCAGCTGTGAGAAGTGGCTTCCAATGTCAAAGCTAAACCTTTGCTCCCCCATGATGGTTTTTGCCCTGCTCCAAAAGCAACAACGACAGCAGCAAAAGCATTTAAAGGATAATGGAAAGAAACCAAGAGCCCACAGGGACCCCGCTCCCCTTTAAGCCCTCAACCTTACTTCACAGTCCTACACAGCATCCTGCTGCCAAGTCTTCTCTCTTCGCACCTTGGGAAGTCCAAGGTACCCAGGTACTGATAGGAGATCCCTTGACCAGAGCAGGTGGGGCTGCTTTTGTGGTCCTGATTGTGGTTAAGATTAGAGCAGGTTGTGCATTTCTAGTGAGGACTTGACAACAAAAGCAAGTGGGGATGGAGGAGAAGGAGAGAGGAGAAAGGAAGCAGCATGGCTTTGTGCCCGGGTGACGGTAACAGTCCAGGAGCCTCACTGCACATTGGGCAGCTGATGAGGTTAGGGAGGTCCCAGGCACAGTCTCCCCTTTCCCTGAGGCAATGGAGAAGTTTCAACACCCCTGCCCAGCATGAGGTGCCCCTGGCTTCTCGCCTAGGTTGTGAAATGGGCATTGGAGCCCACTCAGCCCCACTCACGGCCCTAAGGCCACCCCAGGAAGGGCTCTCTCCTCCTGCCTAAATAAAGAGGAAAACCTCATCTCCTGGTGGAAAAGGATGGGGCTGAGGGACAGTGTCAGCTCCCACAGAGCCTGGGTACATGAGAGAAGGCAGAGCTGCCGAGATGGGTGTTGTGAGGGCTGGTTTTGTGTGCGTGTGTGTGCATGTAACCTGCCCAAGGGATGTGGCTTGGGAGCCGGGGAGGCAGAGGAAAAGAAGGTTCGGGTGTGTGCAGGGAAGCGTGTGCATGAGTGGGGTACATGCACATACATGGACACACATGAAGGGACAGTGCGGGTCGGAGGGCGCGCTCAGGGGAAGGGGCGTGAGTGTGTGCAGGAGAGGATGAGGCAGACAAAGAGCCGCACAGGCGGGCAGGGGCAGACCCCGGCCCTCCCGCGCGGTGTCGGGGCTGGGGGTAGGCAGGTGAGCCCTGCCCGAGGCTCCAGGCAGGGGGGCCATGGGGGTGTTTGTGCAGGAGGGACGCGTCCGAGCATCGCCTCCCGGGAGCTCGGCCTTTGCCACTTCGTTTCCTCGCCGCCTGGGTCCCCCCCACTCGTGCACGGCTCGGGGCGGGCGCGCACTCGGGGTCTCGGTTCTAATCGCAGCCGCTGTAAGAGGGAAAACCCCTCGCAGCCCCCGCCGGTGCCGACCCGTGGCAGAGCCGCTGTCCCCGTGGGGTTGAGCAGGTCACGTCTGCCCGGCACCGGGGCGGGGGGGATCCGGTGAGCCTCTGCTTGCGGTAACGCCTCGCTCGTGAAATTCCGGTCTCGCTGGCAAAGGTGGCTTCCTGCGGGAGGAGAGAAACGGGGAAGGAGAGAAAAGAGAGAAACCGAGAGATCGGGGCTGGATATGTGTGAAATGAGAGGGGAAAACGAAAAGCAGCGCGGGGAGGGGCGGGAGAGAAAGAGAGGGAGACAGAGAGAGGAAAACGGGATAGGGGGAGAGAAAGAGAAAGGAGGAGGGAGGGGAGAGAGAAAGAGAACGAGAGAAGGGGAGAGATTTGAGAGACAAAAAAGAAAAGGAGAAAAAAATAAAAGGAGGGAAACAGGGAAAAAAAGAAACTGAAAAAAAAACTAAAAATAAATTAAAAATAAAACCAGAATAAAAAAAAAGAGAGAAAAACGGTTAAAAAAAAAAAAATCCCCAGAACAAACGGGAAAACAGAAAAAGGAAAAGGGTTTTGGAAAAGTAAAAAAAAAAAAAAAGGAAAAAAAGAGATAAACGAAAAAAATATAAAATTTAAAATAAAGAAAATAGGAAAATAACAGGAGAAAAGCAGAGCGGGGAAGAGCGAGCGAGGGGGAAGGAAGGCGGCACAGAAGGAGGGGAAGGCGGAGGGCAGCCGTGCCCGGTGCCCGCGGGGCCAGGCGGGAGCGGATGGGCCCGCACGGTTCAGGACCCTGGAGAGCTCCGCGCCGCCGGACTCTGGGGCCCGGGGGGGACCGGAGGGGCCAGGGGCTGGCACGAAGGGAGCCGCGCTTCCAGGGCCTGGCAGGGAGCAGGGGGGAACGGGGTGGGTCGGGGCCGCTATCCCGGCAGGGTTCCTCCATGCCGGGGCTGAGCCCAGCGGGACCCGTCCCGGAGCGGGGCTCCGAGCCCACCCGGGATGTGGGAGCGGCACAGCGGCGGCCCTGCTCCGGAAAACCAGCCCCCCCCGCCCGGGAGCTGCTCCCGCAGCCCCTCCTGTCCCCATTGGGGAGCGTGGCTTTGGGGCGCTCTCAGCCCATCCCTGTCTGTGTCCCCCTCCGAGTCACCCCCGGTGCCCGCTAACTGGAAGGCAGGAGCGCTGTAACCCGGCCCCCTCATCCCGCCCGCAGGTGCGGGCCCTCTGCTCCCCCCTCCCCATTTCCCACTATAAATTCAAGGGACAGGATCCGGGGGGCACAGCCCGGCAGGGACACCCAGAGACCCGCCAGGTTTGGGGGTCCCCGGGACACCCAGAGACCCGCGAGGCTTGGGGGTCCCCGGGGGTAAACCCCCCGACAGAGTTCGCTTCAGCCCCGACGGGAGCACAGGGACGAGCTCCCTTTCCCTTTGCAGCTTCAGACCTGACCCCCCCCCCCATTCCCGTCCCTTTCCCCCCCCCCCAGTCAGAGGGTTTCGTCCCCGCCAGCGCGGACTCCCCACGCACCGGCTCGCTCCGTCCCGCCGCTGCTATGCGGAGCTCCGCGGTTGCCGCCGGCTTTTCTCATGCAGATTCCCTCTTTCACACCTCCCAAACAAAAGCAAACGGGGGCATCGCCTCGCCGTGTCAACACACACGCTCATTAGCGGCAAGGCGGCGGGGGGAGCGGGTGGGAACGACTCGAGCAGCCCCTCCGGGGGGGCGGGCGCTTCGGAGGGAGGCTGGAGCGGGCCGGGGATCACCCGGGGAAATTTGGAGCGAGTCCTTCAGCGCATCCCGTCCCAACACCCCCATCTCCAGTCAATAAGTTCCGAAGCTTTGGGTTTGGCTGCCTCCGGTTCGTTTGTCGCAAACACAACGATGCTCACAGCCAGGCTTCGCCCACCCGCGCTTGGGCACCGCGGCGAGCGGCAACCACAGGGCCCTCGGGCCGGGATGGGATGGGATGGGTTGCATGGGGCTAAGTCAGCCTTGGGGCAAGGAGAACGGAGCTCGGGATGGGGCTGGAGCTCGGAGGGGCGGGGGGGCAATTAACGCTTCTCCAATTACCGCCGTCCAAGGGAGAAGAGGAACTGATTGAAACGGCTGTGAGGAACCGCAGGGAAAGCCCGGCCGGGAGCAGGGCGAGGGCAGAGCTGGGGGTTTACTCGGTCTGGTCTGTGGGATTCTTTCCCCCCGTATTTCGGGTCTGGTTTTCCCCTTTCTGCTGCTTCTCTCGGGGCTTCACCCCGCCGCCGGCACCAGCAGCACCTTCCGTTTGGTGCCGTTTCTTCCCCCGAAGCCCCGCGCTGGGGCTCGGAGGGCAGGAAACCGCGAATTCGTTTAAAACAATAAAAGCGGGATAAATAAACCCAGCGTTCCCCTTGCTCTTCGTTTGCGTTTGAGGTTGGGGGGTGGTGTGGGTTTGTCGCTTTCTTTTTCACCCACCCGCCTTTACAGAAACACCCACGGCTAGCAAAGAGCTGCCGCGGGGCACCCGCACTCCCCAGCACCCCGTATGGGGGGAGACGCTCCAGAACCCCTCCATCGGGGCCTTGTATTGTGAGAGATGGAGGGGAGAAGGTGCGGGGGGGGGGGGGGGGGGCCCGCTTGGGGCTCCGCGCATTGTTTGCCGCGGGTGAACCCGCACACACATTTACACGCACCTCGCCCCCCCTCTTTTTCCCCCCAATAATACGGAAATTTCCATGTCCCAGCTGCCTTCCCCTTTTAACCTTGGTATTAATTTAGGACGGATCTTTTTAAACGCCCCTATAATGCATGCAGGCGCTGCTGGGGGTTTATCTCTTTTTCTCCTTTTTCTCTCTCTCTTTTTTTTTTTTTTTTTTTGTACCGTGGGTTATATTTACACCCAAAACAAAATAATTACACTTTTGTTGGCGAGAGAAAGCTGGTGATTAGGCTGCGGCTCTTTGCAGCGAACCCTTTCTCAGTGGTACACCAGGACAATTTTTCACGGCTGGGTGAAATCAGACGCGGGAGGTAATGAATCCTGTGAGCTATTTAAATTTACAATTTGTAACGCAGTCACTCAGAAACGCCTATGGCCCGGCGAGGAGATGCTTGCTGGGTTTGTTTAATGTTAAAACCTGCACCGTCCCCCCTCTCCTACCAAGGGGAAGGAGGGGGACGCGGGGAAGAAGAAGCCTCTTCCTTCCCCAAACGCGCTCCCGCCCGCAGCAGCCCGCGGAGGAGCGCGGAGCGGTGCGGAACCTCCGCTTCCCACCGCGCCCAGCCTCGGCTTCCGCGGGCCGGGCAAAGCTGCGGAGCTCGGCCCCGCTCCGCGCTGCTCCGCGTTTCCTCCGCGCTTCCCGGCCTACAACCAAAAAGAGTTGGAAATATCAACCCGAGTCGCCGGCGGAGCATCCTAGCAGATAGATAATTAATTACAAAGCACAGGGGGAATATGCAAACCGCGTATTACAAATTCTACAGGGCTTAACTGATTGGAAACAGATTATTATCTTGTTTGTCTTTTGTCTGTTTCACTTATCCCTCTGCCGTCTGCTGGGCTGTAACTTGATACACTTTATTCTTGAAAAGGGGCTTTTCTCTTTTTTTTTAATACATAAATTCCATCAACATCTCGCATAAGCGACGCTGCTTCTCTGTGCGTTACCCTGTTAAAACACAATAGGTTTATTAGTTACATATAGGCGGATATGATGAGGCTGGTATCATGGAGAACGTGGCTGATGGGCTCGGGGCGGGAGGGGGGGGGAGGTATTTGGGGCTTTGGGGCTTTTTCCCCTCCTCGGCTTTATTTATTCTTCTTCTTCCAAACGAAACAGGGCGCTGAGAGAGGCAGCGGGGATCGGGGACCCCCGATATCCTCTCCCCAGTCCTGCACCACAGGGGACAGCAGTGGGGGCGGCCCGGCTGTCGGTACCGATGGGGAAGGCACCAGCCGGTAGCAAGGGCCATGAGGGAGTGCGCGGGGACAAGAGACGCATCCGCACATGGCCCATACCGTTATCCACAAGGAGCCCGTTACGGCGTGGCCCCGCACGCTGCTCCCGGCCCCGCCGTCGGGGCTGCGGCTCTCCGCGAGAATGAAAGACCCGCGGCGGCTGCGAGCGGGACCGACCGGACCCCGGTGCTGCTGGACCCCGTAGGAGCCTTCCCCGAAAGCCGGGGTCCGCAGCGCTCCGAGGCCCCAGAATCCCCCCAACATTTGCCCCGCAAACTTGGGCAGAGCCGCGGCTTGAGCGCGGCCGCGATCGGCGGCCGATCCGGTCCCTCTGCATCCCTTCGCCGTTCCTGCCCGTTTCTTCCCTTTTTAATGCGCTCGCCTCCTGTTGTATTTCTTCCCTTCTCTCTTCCCTTTCTTTTCTTTTTCCTCCTGCCTTTGTTTCCTTTCGTTTCCTTTCCCTCCTCTTCCTCGCTCGCTCGCTCTGGCGCTTTTTCTTCGCTCTTTGGTTTTTCGTTTCCTTTCTTTTCCGTTCTCGCCGTCATTTCCTCCTATTTATTTTCCGCGTTCATTTTTCCTCTTCCTTTATTTTTTCTTAATTTCCGCCTTCTTTCTTACTTTCTTCATTTCCATTTATTTATTCGTTCTTTCATTTATCTCTTTTTTCTTACCTTCTTTTTCTTTCTCTTATCGTTCCTTCGTTTTCAGTCCGTTTTTCCTTCTGTCTCTCCTTCTTTCCTTCCTTTTTTTTTTCGTTTTCGTTCATTTATTTTTATTCACTCTCTCCTTTACTTTTCCTTTCTCATTTTATTTTATTTTTAAATCACTGGTTTTGGACACGTTTTCTCTCTTTCCTTCGCTATTTTTCTCTCCTTATTTCCCTTTCCTTTCTCTATTCCTTACCCCCACCCTCTTCTCTCTGCATTTTCAGATTTCGATTCTCGCTTTTTCCACACACCCCCCACCCGAGGGCAAACACAAAACCTCCACCACTTCCCCTCCGATCTCCTCGCATCGCGGCGGGTGGATTTTCTTCTTTCTCCTTTTTTTTTTTCCTTCTTTTTGGCGCTACCGGACACGTTTCCGCGGGGGGGAAACAACACAAACAATTAGAGATTTAGGCATTTCGGCAGAGGAACGGACGGGAATGGGGACGGGAGAGCCGGCCTTCACCTGCCCCGCCGCTTTCCTCCTCCTCCTCTTCCCCACGACCCCCAGGGCAACCCCATTTCCTCCCCTAACCGCGGGGAAACGGAGGGAGAAGCGGCCGCGCTACCCCGCACACCGGCCGCGTCGCTCAGGGAGAGCCCCCATAACCCCCTTCCGCAGCACCCCCCCCCCAGAACCGCTGTACCGGCTCCAGTCCTTCCATCCGTCCCCTCCAGCACCACCGCTCCGCCGCACCTGGAATTAAGGAGAAACAACGGTGTCGGAGGCGCTGCCCCCCCCCCGGGGGTCCCCAGCGACTTACGCGGAGTGCGGAAAGCCCATGGGACAAAGACTGAAAGGGGCCGTTGTTGGGGGGGGGGGGGTGCGCATACCTCCGCGCAGCGCGCAGCCAGGGCAACTTTTCATCCTGCCACGCTGCGCGGGGTGACCACCTGCCCCCCCCCAAAATCCACCCTCCGCCCCGTTTTCCTCGCTTGTTGCTCTTCCAAAACCAACCCTAAAATGAAATCAAAATAAAAGACTAAATCAAGCCCCAAACCTGGCGCTGCTCTGCCCCGGGACCCCCCTAAAGGAAAACAAGCAAAGGAAAAGGTTTTTTTTGGGGGGGGAAGCGTGGTTCGCGGGGGGCCCCCCCGGCCCAGCCAGGTGCGTACTCACTTGCCGGCCCAGGTACAACCACCCTCAACAATAGAGGCGCGTTGTTTTTTTCCCCTCTGTGCCAAGCACAAGGCTGGAGCCAATTTAGATATGCTATAAATTAAGAGGTTGCCATGGTGACCGCGCTCCCATTGGCCGCGGCCGGGACGACGCGGCCCCCGACGTCACCGAATCTGAATAAGGATGCGCGAATTACTAAGGCGGGGGACAAAGCTGGCGATGGGGACAGCATGAGAGTGGCGGCGGCGGAGCTCAGCGAGGCACCGGGGCTGCCGGCTGCAGGGGGGGGGTTCATGCACCCCTCCCGCCGCGCCCGCTGCCGCAGAGCCCGCCACCAGCGCGGCCGCCGCTCCGCCGGCTCCCGGGACGCTCCGGAAGGACCGAGGGGGGGGGTTGGGTTGGGGGGTTTATTCTAATTATTATTATTATTATCATTATTATTATTATTTCTCGGGGGCGATTTGGAAATTCCCCCCCCCTTTTTTTTTTTTATTTTATTTTTAGGGGGGGCGCATCCTTTTTCCCCTCCCGCCGCCGATGCTCCGGAGAGAAGAAGGGGAAGAACTTGACAGCCGCCTCGCTGCCCTCCCCTAAATCTTTTCGTTATCCCCTCTTCTATTTCTCTGTGATTTGACCATTATTCGATTTTTTTTCCCTGCGTTTTTGAGTCGTCGCCGTGTGCCGGCGAGGGGTTTTGGGCTTTTTTTTTTTTTCCCTTCCTTTTTCCTTCTCGTTTGCGCGTCTCCACCCCCGGCGGAGGTTATGATGGTGCATTGTGCGGGCTGCGAGAGGCCGATTTTGGACCGGTTCCTGCTGAACGTCTTGGACAGGGCATGGCACATCAAATGCGTCCAGTGCTGCGAGTGCAAGTGCAACCTCACCGAGAAATGCTTCTCCAGGGAAGGCAAACTCTACTGCAAAAATGACTTTTTCAGGTGAGCGTCCCCCTCCCCTTCCATTGCACCTCGCCGAAGGGTGCGGAGGTTCTCACCGTCCGCGGCCTCACGGAGCTTTGCGGGGGGGTCCCCGCATCTCCGCCCATCGCTTTCCACTGGGGACCCGCACCGAGTCCGCTTCGGAGGGGGAAGTGCAGGGGGGGGGCTGCGCTTCGGACGCTGCTGCAGCCGGAGGTGGGGACACCCCCCCCAAGTCTCCCCATGACCTTGCCTCCACCAGCACCGGGCCCCTCTCCGCCGGTATCGCTCCTCGGCCCGTTCCCGGGACACCAGGCCCCGGTGAAGCCGGTGGCCAAAACCTTCTCCCCCCCCCTTTTACCGGTCCTTAAACGCCCCTAATGACTGTGATAAGGTTCCCCTGAGGAAATTAGGGGCCGGGGTGGGAAGGGGGGGGCAATGACTTATGACTCCTAATGCTCCCACTACATCAACGTCACGGGGAGCAGCAGCGAGGGAGGCAAGAAGTTGTGCCACGACCCGAGGGGAAAAAGGGGGGCACCATGCATGGGCCCCCCTCTTCCCATAGGGCCTGGCAGCAGCCGGGGACCCGCTAGCGGCGGCCCCGCGCCAGGGTTTGGGGGGATTTATTGTTTGATTTGGGGTTGTGTTGGCTTATTTTATTTTCTTTTTTATTTTGCCTTTTTTTTTTGCTTGTTTTGGGGGTTTTGTTTTTTTTTTTTATTATTATTATTTGAGGGGGTGTTTTGTTTTTATTTGTTTGCTTTGGTTGTGATTATTTTGGTTGGTTGTTGTTGGCTTTGGGTTTTGTTTGATTTTGGGGGTTTGTTTTTTGGGGGGGTTGTTTTGGGATTTTTTTCTGGCTGTTGGTTTTGGGGTGGTTTTTTTGTGTGGGTCTTTTTGTCAGTTATTTTGCTGGGTTTTGGATTATTTTTTTCCTCGCGGAACCGTTCCCAGCCCGTTCGAATTCCCTGGAATTCAGTTTAATTTTTTAAAAAAGCATCTCCTGGGGAGTAAAAAATGAAACAAAACAAAAAAATCCCAAACCAAGCCAACAAACCCGGCTCTGCCTCCAGCCAAGGGAAGGAAAACCGGAGCTTTCCAAAGCGCCATTCCCGACCAAGGAGAATTCCCCCCCTGGAGAACGGGACGGCGCGGGGCCCGGGGGGCACTTCGGGGAGCGGAGCTGCTTCCACCGCCTCCCGTTGTTGTTCTGTCCTGGGGGCTCAGTGTCCCCCGACCCCACCGCTCCCTTTCCCCGTCGCTCCGGCCGCCACCATTCCCGTTTCTTCGCCGGGATTTCCAGGCCGACACCTGAAACCTCCCGTTCCCTTCCCGGAGTCACCGGTTGGAGCGAAACCCGCACCCGCCACCCGCTTTGCGGGCTGAATGCTCCCTCCTCATCCTCCCCCCCCCCAAAAGGGACAGCAGGGAGGGGGGGGGGGGGAGTGGGTGGGATTCTCCCGTTCCCCCAAATCTCCCAGCGGGAGATGCTGCAGGCTCGGACTCCCGCGGTGGGATTTGGAGCAGGGGGGCTCGCTACAGAGGCCCCATCGCCGCCGGGGCTCCCAGCTCTTCGCTTTTCTTCCCCCTCCGCAGGAGGTTTGGTACCAAATGCGCCGGCTGCTCCCAGGGCATCTCCCCCAGCGACCTCGTCCGGAAAGCGCGGAATAAAGTGTTTCACCTGAACTGTTTCACCTGCATGGTCTGCAACAAGCAGCTCTCCACGGGCGAGGAGCTCTACATCATAGACGAGAACAAGTTTGTTTGCAAAGAGGATTACTTGAACTCCCCCAGTCTGAAGGAAGGAAGCCTCAACTCAGGTACGAGCGGCCCTGCCCTCCGCACCGCCCGACCCCCGGAGCTTTAGGGTTTTTTTTGGGGGTGTGGGGGGTAAGGGCTGCACCCCGCAGCCAGCCCGACCGCCATCGTTAATCCGCGGGGAGAGGGAGGGATGTGGGGTGAAAGCCTTCAATCGGGGTGGAAGCGATCGCACCCCCCGAGGGATGCGGACGCGCATGGGGCAAGGGGCGGCCGAGGTGCAGCCCCGCAGCATCGCTCCCGGGGGCAGCATTCCCCCCCCCACCGGACGGTGAGGAGCCAGGACCACCCCGGCCTAGCCCGGTGCCCCCCCTTCAAACCCGGGAGCATCCCCCTGCGAGTGTGCCCGGTCCCCCCGCGCCGCGGGCCTGATCCTTCGCCTCCTTTCAACCCAGAGGCAAAGCTCCCATTTGACTTCCTTGGAAGCTGTCTCTGCGTCAGGACAGCAGGATCAGGCCCACTCCCGCTGTCCCAGCCATGCCGGGCGCCTGTGCTCACCCCCTTCCGTGGGCTCTCTCTCCGTCCAGCACCCGGGGCCGGATCCTGCCACGTCAGTCAGTGGGGCCGCTGCTGTGAGCGAGGCGAGTAGAGCATGGCCTTGGGGGGTGCTGGCATCAGGGGCCCCGGGAGGAGGGGTGGCTGCGTGGGGGGGGTGAGCCAGGCTCAAGGCAGCGACTGGGGCCCCCACCTCCCCAAGCCCCTACAGGGACCGGCCGCATTTTTCCCTGCGGCGCTTCCCGGTGTGCAAGGCGCAGGCGGGGGGAAAAGGGGAGCTCGGGGGCCTGCGGGGGGCTTGGGGGATCCCCCCCTCCCCAGCTGCCCCCGGACGGCACAACGTGGTGCACAGGGCCCGGTCGGGCAGAGTTTACCTGGAGCTCTGCGTAATGCTGGGGGGCTGATGCTTTCGGGGTACCAGGGGGGCAGAGGTGATCTGCACATCTTGCTGCTCTCCAGCACCCCCAAACTCCTCTCCTGGAAAGCAGCCGGGCTGGGGAGGGCAGAGGAGAAGGGGGGTTGATGTCTCCCCTAAGTTATCCGCACCCCCCCCCCCCTCCCCTTCCTTTCTGGGTCTCCTTTACAGTGTCCTCATGTACAGACAGGAGTTTGTCCCCGGATCTCCAGGACCCCATGCAGGACGACACGAAGGAGACGGACAACTCGACCTCCTCGGACAAGGAGACCACCAACAACGAGAACGAGGAGCAGAACTCGGGCACCAAGCGGAGGGGGCCCCGCACCACCATTAAAGCCAAGCAGCTGGAGACCCTCAAAGCTGCCTTCGCCGCCACCCCCAAACCCACCCGCCACATCCGAGAGCAGCTGGCCCAGGAGACCGGCCTCAACATGAGAGTCATCCAGGTAGGGCAGCCCCAGCCCATGGTCCCATGGTGTGATGTGGCATCATTCCCATCATAGAACAACATCAGCACTTCATGGGGCCGTTTCCTCCCATGGCAGGGGAAAAACCCGCATAGGAAGGGAAGGAAAAGGGGTGCTGTAGGAGCTCTGATAGCTCAAGGCTGTCACGGTCTCCCCTAGGTGCTGGGAAGGGGCTGGGACACTGAGGCTGATCCCATGAGCTCTGGAAATGGGGTCAGGCAAATCCCATCCATCCCCTGACAGCGTCACACCTCTGCTCCGGTGGGATAGCGGGGATCCCCCATTCTGTGCTATAATGCGCCGATCCCGTGGGGAGAGATGAAAATCAATCCCAAAACATAAGCCGGTCTGAGGCCTCACCGTCAGGACTCTCCAGCGTGCCCAGGAGATGGATGTTCCAGCCTTGGGAAAGCAAGGAGAAGCCATTGCTCTCTGCAGGCAGCCCGGCACTTCCTTACTGCACTGCCCCCTGAAGAAAATCCCTGCGGAAATATAGGGATTAATGGGCTTTAATAAAGGCACTAATAGGGGAGGACTCTCCGGCTTTGCCCGTAGCGGAGCTACCATTCCGGGCTCCCAGCAGAGGGAAGCAGGAGAAGGGCCCTGGAGGAGCGCGATGTGCTCGTTCCCTTGAGCTGCCCCATCCCGGGGGATACAGAGGGGAAAGGAGCCATAATCCAGACACCGCAATACCAAGACAACACGGTGGCCTGGGCCGTGGATGAGACGATGCCCCGTGGAGAGTCGGCTGCATCTTCCCCTTCCCTGTTATCTCCATCCCCACCGGTCAGCTTTTCCTCCCGCTGCAGCAGGTCTCATCTCCCTGCAACCTGCTTTTTGCTGGCACCCAGAACTCCTCCCCGCCTTTTCCTACCCTCTTTTCCTCCCTTTTTCTTCCTACCCATAGAGGAAAATTCTCCCTCTTGTATTTTCTGGCTGCCTTCTCCCTTGTAGACACAAATCGGCTGAGGATGCATGCAGGGGGACGCAGCCTGGTTGTTTGGGGGGGGGGGCGTGTACCCCCATCCATGTTTTGGGATTTACTAGCAGCAGGAGGTGTGGGTTGTCATTAAAACATGGGAAAACCCATGTGGGTGCAAGATTCCCATCCCCTTCTCCAGCCATCCCTAACCAAACACGGGGAGGGGGTGTCCCCGGTACCCCCATTCCCTTTGGATCCTGACGCTGGCCCTGCCGCAGGTCTGGTTCCAGAACCGTCGGTCCAAGGAGCGCCGGATGAAGCAGCTGAGCGCGCTGGGCGCCCGCCGGCATGCCTTCTTCCGCAGCCCGCGCAGGATGCGGCCCCTCGGCGGCCGCCTCGACGAGTCCGAGATGCTCGGCTCGACGCCCTACACGTACTACGGAGGTGAGGGACCGCTGCCCCGTGTCCCCCCTGCTCCTTCCCTCCCTCTTTCCCATTGTTCCTCCCATATCCCCCTTTCCCGAGCAGCCGCAGCATCCCGGCTCTCCCCGTGCTCACGTCCATGCACACGCTCCCCGCCGTATGCACACACACGTCCACGCAGGCTCGCACCCACGCCCATCTCCCGGGCCTTGCGGCGGCCCCTCTCCCCGAACAAAGCCCCAGCTGCGGGGCTTTTGTGCCCCTTTCAGGCCGCATTTGTTCCAATTACCTCCCGGGCCCGCAGCATATGGAAGGTCACTGCCGCCGGGCCGCCCCCCCGCCGCCGCCCCGACGGGACTGGATGGGCGCAGCGGGGCGGCCCCGCCGCCTCCCCTCTCCCCCCCGCTCCGTGAAGAGCCCCCCCGAAGCCCATTTTCAAAGCCTCCCTTCCTAAGAGGGGCTTTCCACGCACCCCTTGCTGCCCCCAGTGAGTTTCTAGATCCCTTCTAGGCTGCTAAATATATATATATGTATATTTCCCCATTTATATATATTTTACCCCATTTTATTTATATAGATTTTTCCACATCGTATATATTTTTCCCCATTCCCTTGTATGTTTGGGGTTTTTTTCCCTATTCCGTTTAGATATATTTTCCACAATTCCCTTTATACATGTAATCCTCGTATCCTTTATATATATATCTTTTCCCCATTCCCTTATACGTTTTTTACCATTCCCTTTAAATACTTATTTTGCCCATTCCCTTTATACATACCTCTTTCTTTTTCTCTCATATGTTTTTCCCCATTCCTTTACACATGCTTTTTCCCCATTCCCTTTATACATCTTCTCCCTGTTCCTTTATACATACATGGGTTTTGCCATTCTCCTTATACATATTTTTTCCTTCTTCCCTTATATACATATATACGTTTTCCCCTCTCCTACAATCCTAAAATCAACTAGGTTGGAAAAGACCTTTAAAATCATCAAGTCCAACCGTTACCCCAGGACTGCCAAGTCCATTAAACCGTATCACTGAGGACCATGTCCCCTTATACATATCTTTTCCCCATTCCCTTATATATATGTTTTTCCTCATTCCCTTTATACATCCATTCACCCATTCCCATATATATCTTTTCCCCCTTCCCTTTATGTACATATATATTATTTAATGCATTAACCAAGCATTAAATTGAGCCCATCCTCCCCCTGAGCTGCCCGAGCCCCAGCTCCTTGCCCTCCTGTATCCCCTTCCTCCCTCCAGGACAGGCAGGGAGAGGACGGTGAGCGCTGCAGCCCTGAGGACCGGCTTATTTCTCCCTTAGGTTGAGCTCCGATTTGCAGTGGGGTCTTTGAGCCCCACACCCCAGGAGCCAGCAGAATATTTCGGCATGGGTGGCAATGCGGGTCCAGATTTGTGCCCAGAGGGGAGGACAGGGTTGGGAATGGGGCGCAGCGGAGGTTTCATCCCTGAGGGACCAGCTCCATCCTTCTCCCTCCCGCCCCACAGATTACCAAGGTGACTACTACGGACCGGGAGGCAACTATGACTTTTTCCCCCACGGGCCGCCCTCCCAAGCCCAGTCCCCGGCCGACTCCAGCTACCTTCAGAACTCAGGACCCGGCTCCACACCCCTGGGACCCTTGGAGCCCCCCTTAAGCGGACACCACTCCTCAGAAAACCAAAGGTACACGGATATGATCTCGCATCCCGACACCCCCAGCCCCGAGCCGGGGATGACCGGCTCGCTGCACCCCATCCCAGGGGAGGTCTTCAGCGGGGGGCCCAGCCCACCCTTCTCCATGTCCAGCAATAGCGGCTACAGCGGGGCCCTCTCGCACCCCAACCCGGAGCTCAGCGAGGCAGCGGTGTGGTAGGCCTGGTGTGGGCACGTGTGTGTGTGGGGAGGGGGAAAACACCCCCGTGTTCCCCCACCCCACGCGTGTCCCCCCTCCACCCCACGGATAAAGACCCCCGTCCGATGCCAAAACGCATCCCTGCGTCCCCTCCAATCACTGCAGATCCCTCCCTCCATATGGGACCTTGGGGCCACCCCACTACCTCCCCCTCCCGGCACCTTCCCCCCCCAGCACTGGGGGGGGGGGATAAGGAATGGTGCCCAGCCCTGAAGACCCCCGTTGGCAGCGGGACCCCCGCCTCTCGGACCAAAGCTGAACTTGCCTGGACACACAGGTCCCACCGCCCCGGCGGCTCCTGGGGATGGGGACGGGGGGCTCTTGGCAGGGCTCCCCCCTGCTCATTAGCATCCTTTTTAATTATCCCCGACCACATCGCAGCAGGGGGGAAACGGGGAAGAGCAGGAATAACACCCCCCAGCCCCTTCCCTGCCCTGGTTTTCCGTTGTTCGCCTTTTATCCCCGAGGACAAGGCGGGTTTGGACCCGGTCTTTGGTTCAGAGGGGGTGTGGAAGGGGGTGCCCAGGGCTGCCCCAGTGACTGGCTGAGATTGAGCTCCCACACGGTGGCAAAGACAGAAAGAGGCAACCCCCCCCCCCCACTAACCAGGGAAATAACCCAGGACAAACCCACGCACCACCAGAGCAGAAATCAAACCCTGAGCCTCACCACCGAGCTCCACCCCAGCGATGCCCAGCGGCTCTGCCGAGTTACGGATGTATCATAGTTTTTGCTTCTAGTTTCTTTATTTTGTATAAAGGAGAAACAAATAAAGTATGGTTTTGTGTTTACTGATTATTTATTGTACTTTTAGTCACGGGAGGCTCCCAGGGTTTTCTATTCCGCAGGCGGGGGGGGGGGGGGGGGGGGGGAATATATAGAGTGGGAATGACAAAATAAAGAGGAAGGAGAATGGAAAAGGAAAGGGGAAAAGTTGTTTGCTGAAAGCGCCGTGGGTTTCCTGTCCCCGCTGCCTCTTGCGGAGGCTGTTAGTGTGAATGGCTCTTGTTGTTCGATGTGAATAAAGAACCTTTTAGTTACCTACTGCTCGGTCACCTGGTCCCTTTCGTTTCGTTTTGTGATCACTCCAGAGAAAGGCAAAGCCACGGGAGGTGCTGGTTGGGCTCCCCCATTGCCGACCCCAGCACTAATGTGGGGTCGGGGGGAGCCGCTACCAGCGCTCCCCTGCATAGGATGGGTACCATGGGCACCTCAGTGCTGCTGTATCACCCACCTGGTACCCCAGAACCCCCACATCCCCCCAGCTCTCCATCACTTGGGGGGGCACATTCCCCAGAGCAGAGAACCTGGGACATGATTCCTTTCTCCTGGGGAAGGGATCATATGGACACCCCAAAATCACCCGCCCCAAAGCAGTCCAGAGGCACCCTCAGCCACGCTGATCACCATGGGATGCTGCATCCCTACAGGAATACTGGGACACACACCACGGGGGTGGGATGTCCATGAACCCCATCTGCACCATGCAGGTACCAAGGGCAGGCAGGAGAGGGGTCCATCCCCACCAGCATCCAAGTCCATCCCCATCTCTCTTGCTTTTCCCTCTCTTGTTTTCCAAGATCCCAAACCAAATAAAGCCCACAACCGGCTGCAGCTCTGAGCTAATATTTAAAGCACACAATCGTGGCAGAGCTTAGAGCTTCCCCCCCTCCCTTGGCTTGCAGGAAACCGATAGAACCAGAATGAATTACCTCCTCTGCCTGGCTTACCAGCGTCCCTCTCTCCTGACCTGAATTTCAAGTCCTGGCTGGGTTGCAGCACGGAGCACTGATGATTTATGGAAAGCCAACCACTGCTCTGCATATTTCCCTCTGCTCAGCCAAGTGGTGGAATTTATCCTTCCTATGCCATTACCAGCATTAATAACGGGGTGGCAAACGAGCCGGGCTGAGCCCTGAGGAATCCCTCAGCCTGAGACCATCACAGCAGCTCAGCACACAAAGCACCTTCCCCCCTTTTATCAGGTGGGGAAACTGAGGCAGAATTGAAGCTGGGCCCTCCCTCGTGCTCCACCCCTGCCAGGTTGGGGTTATCAGGGCTCGTTATAAGGATGGGGCGTTGCATTGTTAAATAGCTCCCTCCCAGCATCGTTCCGAGGGTTATAAATGCAAGCACAAGGTCATTCAGTGGGTGAACACGCCGCCTATTATGATGATCATTGCTATTACTATAGCCAAGGCACACACTGGAGGGCTGTCAGCGGGCTGCTGGGCATCCCATCCCTGCAGGAGGGATTTGGGATGCTCCAAGCTGCCTCCTCCCATGCAGGCGGCTGGGGCTCAGCACCCATCCGAGCAGGGACCCACTGGCACTGAGGGGTGTTTCTGGTTGGGACCCGCAGCTCAGAGCTGGTTGCAGGAGCGAAGCCTTGCCCTGCTTCACTGGCCACCGGCTACTGCTGCCACCCCATCCCTGCAAGCACCCACCTGCGGCTTGGTGTCATGGAAAGGGCTGGATCCAGGGCACAGAGCAGGGAGCGGATGGGTTCAGCCCCTGAGCCGCAGCCAGGGCTGGGTCCCCATCACAGCCAGGGTCCCCACTGCAGCTGGGGTCAGGGCCCAGTATCACAGCCAAAATGGGGGCCCCACCACAGCCATGTCACAGCCAAGGCAGGGATCCCCCCCACAGCAACATCATAGCCAAGATGGGGATGCCAAGTGTGGCCACGCCACCCTCAGTGGGGTGTCCCCCACATAACCTGCACCCCCATGTCCCTGCCTTGGCCTAATCTTCCTCAGCTGGCACCCAAAGACCAAATGCTCCCTCAAGGCAAGAAACGGGGCAAAGCTCCCCGTTGGGGTCACCCCAACCCCAGTGTCAATAACCCCCCATGGGGCCATGCTGGGGACACACCAGTGTGAGCTCCTAGCTCCCCCCAGGCCCAGCAGAGCATCCTTAGTCCTGAGGATGAATTCCTTTCCCATTTCCAGCCTTTGGACAAGCATCATTGCTATTTTATATTGTATTCTGACTTTTCCCCCTTTTTGGGGGAGAAAAGGGAAGGGGAAGGTCTGCAGAAAGTGGAAAATAACCAGGTTTTGGACCCGGGATAAAAAGTAGCTGGAGTAGGTTGGGCTGACTCCTTACAATTAATAGTGTGTCTTGCAATAGGATTCTCCGGCCCTTGGTGCTCCTTGGAACACCTTTTTCGATAAGATGTTGCTCACGATGGAGTGGCAGAGGTTTGATTGATGGGGATTTGGCCTCCAAGAGGCAACTGGGGAGCAGGCCTGGACACTGGGAGAGATGGGGGGAGGCAGGGAGGGTGCTGCTGGGGGGAGCTGGCCAAGAGAAAGAGTTTCATGGGGCTGCCGGTGACTCAGGGGGCTGAGCCCCCCCTGCTCCAAGGGGAGAAGGGGGGCACCAGCAAGACCTTAGAGCAGCTCCGGTGCCTAAAGGGGCTGCAGGAAACCTGGAGAGGGGCTTGGGACAAGGGATGTAGGGACAGGCCAAGGGGAATGGCTTTAACCTGCCAGAGGGGAGACTGAGATGAGCTCTTAGGCAGAAGCTCTTCCCTGTGAGGGTGCTGAGGCGCTGGCACAGGGTGCCCAGAGAAGCTGTGGCTGCCCCATCCCTGGCAGTGTTCAAGGCCAGGTTGGACACAGGGGCTTGGAGCAAGCTGCTCTAGTGGAAGGGGTCCCTGCCCGTGGCAGGGGTTGGAGCTGGATGAGCTTTAAGGTCCCTTCCAACCCAAACCATCATTCCATGATCACCCAGGAATGGAAAGAAGGACAGGGGAGAAATGCACTGAGGGACACAACACCCAACAGGAGGTGCATTAGCAACAAGCTAAAAGGAAATGCAGCACTAGTGCAGGAAAGCCTAGAGGAAAAGAGGGGTTAGGAAAAAGAGTGCTATGGGAAGAAAGGGGGATCTTGTGGCTCCAGGATGGGGTCTACACCCCCCCCCCCCCTCCATCAGTGCACCTCAGAGCCCATGGGTGTTAAACCCAGCCAGGGAGCTCCACCAATAAATCACTGCAACCAGCAGGTCCATGTGTGTTATTCTCTTCTGACCACAGACAGAGCGGAAGGAATGGGAGAAGACTGTAATAATTAATAATCATTAGAATAATAATGCATAAAGGCAGTCACAAAGTAATTAGTCAGAGAACGAGTGCTTGCTAATTGGGGTGGGGAGCTGCATCCAACAGGGAGCAGGGGGTGCGGAGCAGGAGCTCATCCAAGGGGCAAAGAGGGGTGCGTGTACCCCAGTCCTGCCCTCGGACGGGCAGGAAGGGCCCTGGCTCCATCCCTGCCTGCAGGGTGAGCCCTGGCTTCACCCACCCTGCGTGCCTCAGTTTCCCCATCCTCTATAGATGCTGTGTGCTGGGCAGGGACTGCAGGAGGAGGCGAGGGGTCCAGCTCAGAGACCAGGCTCTATTTGGGTTATCCTAAAGGCCAGTCTGGTGTGAGGCACCGCTGCCCATGGCAGCGGGGTGGAACCGGGTGATCTTCAGGTGCTTTCCAACCCAACCCATTCCATGGTTTGGGAAGGACCCCACACGGGCAGGGATGCCTCACACCAGACCGCGTCACACACGGCTCCGCTGTGCCCCCCTCCTCAATGGACATCACTCCAGCCCCAGCTGGTCCTTGAGGGCGCGGAGCTGCGCGGGCCGGATGCTGCTGCCGCCGCACACCACCAGCACCACGGAGGCCAGCGGGGCCCGCAGCCGCCCCTCTCGCTGCAGCCGCTGCAGTCCTCCCGTGTAGAGCAGGGCCAGGGCAGCGCCGCACGCCGGCTGCACCAGCATCCTCTCGTCCTCTGCGGGGACAAGAGCCACCCTGAGCCGCGCCGTCCCCATCGCCCGCCACCAACCGGCACGGCGCAGGCTGCTGCCCCCGGTGCCGTCCCCATCGCCACCCGGCTCACCCAGGAACTGCTCCACAGCCCGCACAGCATCCGCGTCCTCCACCACCTGGGAGATGACCTCGCATTCCCGGGCGCACTCCAGCGCCCGCGCTGCCACGGTCTTGGCTCCCAAGCACTTGGCCACGCTTGGGATAGAAGTGGATGGGGTGTTCCTGAGGACCCTTCACGGAGCTGGGCTGAGACCCAGCAACTCCTCGCATGCACGACACGGCCTTACCTGGTGATGTCGGGCAGGGTGATGAGCCGCCCGGCCTCCAGCGCCGCGTGCAGGCTGTGAGCCCCCCACGTCTCCACGGCGATGATGGGGGTGTCCTGCCAGCCCACCCGCCACAAGCCAGCCACGACACCCGCCAGCAGCCCCCCGCCACCCACCGCCAGCACGACGGCGTCTGGCTTGGTGTCCAGGGAGTCCTTCAGCTCCTGGACCAGGCTGGCGTGGCCCTGCCTGCGGCGTGAGGAGGGGAGGATGTGGCCCAGAGCATCCCGGCCATGGGGATGGGGATGGGGAGCTGAGCACCGGCAGCACTCACTCACCACACCAAGGGGTGGTCGAAGGGGTGGATGCTGACCCAGCCCTTGGTCTCCACCAGCTCCAGGGCTCTCCCGTTGGCATCATCCCATACCTGGGGAAGTAACAGGGGCTCCGTGGGGCCACATCAGCTTTCACACCCCCCCCCGAAATGGGTCCGTCATCACCATAAACCCACAGAGGCACTGGGTTGAGGTCTGGGGTCCCCACGGTGACCATGCTGCAGGGCCAGGGTGCAGGTGATGCAGGACGGGGGGATTGCCATGCGCACCGCAGAGATGCTCCCACCCCGCACACCCCCAGGCTGCGGTACCTGTCCCGAGACCTCCACCTCTGCCCCCATCTCCTGCAGCCTGCGCACGGTGCCGGGGCCGGTGCTGCTGGGGACCACCACGGTCACCGGCACCCCCAGCTTCTGCGCCGCGTAAGCCGCGGCCAGCCCCGCGCTGCCCCCTGCGGGAAGCGGGGGTCAGGAAGGGCTGGATCCCCCCCCTCCGCAGCCCTCACAATGGGCCCCCTGCTCCGGCTCCAGTTACCTGAGGCACAAACGAAGTGGCTGCAGCCCTTCTTGGCAGCCTGAAAGGCAGGAGAGGAGGGAAAGGGATGGGGTTTACCCCCTCGTTGTGCCCCGTAAGGGCAGGAGCAGCGCCCTGGTACAACCCTCACCTCCTGGCAGAGGTGGCCGATGCCCCGGATCTTGAAGGAACCGGTGGGCTGAACGTTCTCCAGCTTCATGTACACCTTGGTACCCGCGGCCCTGGACAGGGGCAGGCTCTCCAGGAGGGGCGAGACGATGTGGAAGGGCTTTTGGCCCCCGCTGGGCTGGGCTGCCATGGCCTCAGGGGTGATGGATGCTCTGCTGTGGAGAGCTGGGTGAGGCACTGGCTGCTCCCCATGGGTACCCCCCGTTCCCCACAGCCCTGCTGCCCGCCTTGGTTCCAAGGGGGCCACATGGCTGGGACAAGGCTGTCCCCAGGTCCACCCCCAGTACCGCAGCAATGAGTCCTCCCTGCCAGAGCCCCATTGCAAGCAGGGCCACCCCATCTCCATCCTCCATCCCCAAGCCCCCCCCTGTCCCCAAGCGCCCCACGGTGGGGTTACCCAATGTCCCGTGTCCTCACTGCATGTGCTCAGCTCCGGATGGAGGAGGTGACGCCAGGGGGGCCGTGCCGATGTCCCCAGGCCCCCACGTGAGCCGGCAGCAGTTAGACATTGCCCTGGCTGTTTGCTCACAGCCGGATGGGCTTTGGCATCCACAGCACTGGACGCGTGCCCAAAGCACCCAGGCCATGGTACGGGCACGGTGCCGGTGGCCCAGGATCAGCCAAGTCCCAGCAGCCTTCATGTGCCAAGGAGATGGGAGGCCAGGAGAGGGGGCAGCTCCCAAATGACTTTGGGGGTCCCCAAGGGTAAGACCCCTGCACCTGAGCACAAGCCCTTGGGTCCATGTCCCAGGAGGCTGGAGGACTTTGCCCATTCAACCTGAGCCCATTGCCCCCACAGCAGCCATTGCACCCCTATGCCAGCCCTGCCAAGCCCCACAGCAGCCTTGCTCCGCCCCCCCCCCCCCCCATCCCAGCCTCATGCCCCATGGAACAAGCCCCTGTGTGCCAGGAGGGGTCAGGGGGTATGAAGGTCCCAACAGGGGACTCACTGCACATGAGCTGGCATAGGCATGACACAGCCAAATGGGATGCACTGGGAACCCCCCCCCCCCCACTCCCTGGCTCTGCCCCACTGTCACAGCAGTGAAACAGACCTGGAATGCTATGGGATTGCAGCCCCAGGATCCAAACCGGAGCTGGTCTTCCCCAGCAATGGAACAACTCCATGCTCCCATTAGGCTTCAGAGTGAACAGCGCAGAGCAGGGCAGGGCACCACAGGCAGTGCCACACCACGCTGCTTTGGGCACATGGGGACTTGCAATATGGGATGTGGTGAGGATTCCTTCAAGGGGGGCACACGAGCTCCAGCCCCCCCCCCCCCCATCTCCCAGTGGCCGCAGGGACCGCAGATGCTTCCCTGCGGATGGGACAGGGGTGTGGGACCATTGGTGGCAGCGCAGGGGAAGCGGTGCAAGGAGACCCCGCTGCTCATAGGGAGGATGCTGGAGCCAAGCTCAGCCCTCCTCAGCATGGGTGCACCCATCCCTCCTCATTGCTCTCCTTCTACCCCGGGAAACCGAGGCACAGGGAACCCCCACACCAGGGACATAGGCACGGATTCTGCCACCCCCTCAGCACCCATCCCTGTGGGATGGCTCCGGGGCTCCCATCGCAGCTTTAGGGGTACCAGCCCTGCTGCATCCCAGCTCCGTGCAGCCCCCAGGTTGCTGCAGGGCCCCCCAGGCCTGGTGGGAACCTGGAGCCATCAAAGCGGAGCCGCAGTAGCTCATTAATCCCCCGGTAATGACCTCGTTATTCCTAACGAAGCAGCGGGATCAAGGGAGCTGCCCTAAGAGGATTTTGCAACGGGGGTTTTGGGGCTGGGGGGAACACAGGTGTCAGAGGGAGGGGGAGGCAAAAGGGATGAGGAGGGACACCCCATCCGGGGGGGGGTGAGTGGTGGGGACCTCCCCGTTTCAGCCCCACACCAAGTACCCAGAGAAAGCTCAGCACCCCAAAAGAGGCCAGCCTGGAGGGCTGTGCACCCGACCACCAAGAAGCAGGGAGCATCCTGTTAATGTTGGGGGGGGGGGGGGGAGAAGACCGCTGCGTGAGCCCAACCCTTATACGAGACACCAGAGAATCTCAGCAGCGTGCAAAGCACAGCCACCCCCTCTGCTGCACGCAGAGCACTTTATTTGTCACAGCCAAACCAGTTCACTGCCCTGCTCTCTGCCTGCGGACCAGCACCAGCCTCCCAAGGGGGGGGGTCCCCCTTTTCTGGGAAGAGCCCCCCCAAAACCCGGTGTCAGCATCCAGGGAAAGGTCCCAGAACCCCATGGCTGGGAGGGGACACGGTCCCAGTGCAGCTCAGCACCACGGGGACACGGCAGTGAGAGGCAGAAGCAGAAAGACCCTGGGGTGCAGGGGACCCCCCCTCCTTGCACCCAAACCAGTCCTGCGGGCGCAGGGGCAACGCTGCGGCCCCCACGAGGGATTCCCACACAGGGATGCCCATGGATGGACGGGCTCATCCCGGTGCCTGCTCAGTCCCAGCGGACCTTGATGGGGGGGAAGGTCCATAGGTCCGGGTGGCCCATGTGCAGCAGGGCGCTGCATGGGGACGTGCTCCAGCGGAACGGGGGCACATCATCCCAGGCAGGACCGCTGGCAGCCACCAGCGCCAAGGTGGGGACCATGCCCGAGGAGGTGACCTGGGGGGGGGACACAACACATCAGCAAAGGGCTGTGGGAGGGGGTGCACCCCTAAAGAGGGGGGTCCTGGCTCCCACCTTCATGTCGGTGCCGCCGTGGCAGCGCTGGCGCAGGGCAGGGAAGGGGTAGGTGCCGTTGGGGGGGTTGAGGTCAGAGCGGGCGGAGATGGCGTTCTCTGCGTTCTGGGGGGGGTCACAGCCCCGGCACCGCGACAGCGGGTCCTGCAGGTAGTTGTTGGACCTGGGAAGTGAGGGGTGGGTGATGGCAGGGAGGGGAACGCGCATCATAGAGACACAGTCACAGCATGGGGTGGGTTGGAGGGACCTTGAAGCTCATCCAGTTCCAGCCCCTGCACCCTTGAGCTAGAGCAGCTTGCTCCAAGCCCCTGTGTCCAACCCGGCCTTGAACACTGCCAGGGATGGGGCAGCCACAGCTTCTCTGGGCACCAGCGCCTCAGCACCCTCAAAGGGAAGAACTTCTGCCTTAAATCCAACCTAAATCTCCTGTTTCAGTCTGAACCCATCACCCCTTGTCCTATCACTACAGTCCCTGATGAAGAGTCCCTCTCCAGCATCCTTGCAGCCCCCTTCAGCCACTGGAAGCTGCTCTGAGGTCTCCACGCAGCTTCTCTTCTCCAGGCTGAACAGCCCCTATGTTCTCAGCCTGGCTCCATACGGGAGCTGCTCCAGCCCCTGAGCATCCTCGTGGGCTCCCCTGGACTTGCTCCAACAGCTCCATGTCCCTCCTGTGCTGGGGACACCAGCACCGCACACAGCGCTGCAGGGGGGTCTCCCAGAGCAGAGCAGAGCAGAGGGGCAGGATCCCCTCCTTCAACCTCCTCCTTTCGATGCAGCCCAGGACAAAACCACCACTCCTGAGGGCTGCAACCCCCCTGTGGGGGGCACCCAGAGGCCTTGGGGTGCCCTCAGCACCCACCTCATCAGCCGCACCATGGAGTCCAGGTCGCGGACCAGCGTCTGGTTGCGGCGGAAGATCTGCGCGCGTGGGTTCTTGTCGTAGCTGAACCAGTCCCCATACTTCTCCACCAGCTCCAGGGTCCCGCTGGCGTTAAAGACCTCCTCGAAGTACCTGGAGATTTGGGGGGCAGTCAGCACCCCCAGTGCTGCGGGCTGGGGGCAAGGGCCAGCATCGGCTGTGCCCCTCTTTAACGGGATGGGGACGGGGGCTGGATGCAGCTCACGGCAGGTTGTAGCTGGCCCAGTAGCCCTGCTGGTACAGCAGCTCTGTCCGATCGGCCACCACCACCAGGCCCCTGCGTGGGGAGGAAGGGCATTGAGTTGGGATGGATGGGGATAGGCCGGGAAGGGGAGCAGCCCTGCCGGGATTCCCACCCCATCCAGAGCCGCACAGGCAGCTCCAGCCTGTATTTGTATCCCCAGCACCCAATTCCCACCCATTGGGCAGGGGCAGCTGTGGCTTCCCCCAACCCATGGGCGACGGGAGAGGGGATTCTCCCCCCATGGCTCAACTCACGGGATCTGCTCCAGCACGGTCAGCACGCCCTGCGGCGGGCTTGCTCTCCCCGGCGTGAAGGCGTTGTAGTCCACCACCATCCACTGGTTGTTGTACCTGGCACGGGGAGAGGAGGGAGCATCCCTGTGGCACCCAGCCGCATCCCTGCGCGCGGTCCTCCCAGCCTCCGGACCCCGGCGCATCCTCACGTGCCGCTGTTGAAGCGCCGGAACACGGCGGCCCACTCGGCACCGCTGCGCGCCAGGCGGTTGGCCACGATGTTCCGCAGCCACTCCAGGACGCTGCCGCGCGGCTCCAGGTACTTCCACCGCGCCGGGTTGTTGTTCCCAATGGTGGTTTCCAGCGCGACCTGCGAGGAAGGGAGGCTTTGGGAAGGCGGCGGGGCCGCGGAGGGGTCCCCCAGGGCCAGACCCCACTCACCAACCCGCTGCTGAGGATGTAGAAGTCGTCCCCGGAGAAGATGGTGCCGGGGTAGGAGGAGAACACTTGGGTGCTGCCAGGGATCTGAGCGTTGCCTGGGAAAGGGGATGTGGGAGCGAGGGAGCATCAGCAGGGGGGTGTCAATGGGAGCGAGGGAGCATCAGCAGGGGGGTGTCAATCGCAGCCCCCCCTCCCAGCTCACTCACCAGCACCCGAGGTGCGGAAGGGCAGCGTGTACTTCTTGATGACGCGCAGCATGGACTGGTAGGAGGTCCACGTGTCGTGGGCAACCAGGAGATCCCGGTGTCCCGGCAGCAGCTTCAGGAGGGCAGAGCAGGAGCCCGAGCCCAGGACGCGCCGTGGGGAGGAGCGGTTCAGGGCTGACTCCAGGTCCTCCAGGTCACCCCCCAGCTGCAGCAGGCTGGGGCAGGGAGTAGGACACGGGGTATGAAGTGGGGGACACCGCAACCCCGGAGCAGGGCCGCATCCGGAGCTCTCTGCACATCAATATCCAGGCCGGGGGTGCTCCTCCATCCCACCCCAGCACGGGCACCAGTGCTCAGCAGGGAGGGAAGGAAACTGAGGCAGGTGGTGAAGCAGGCTCGGAGGGGTACCCACCACCCAGCCCACGGGGTATGGAGGAGCCCCAGCAGCAGAAGGGTTTGAGTGGGACAGAGCTGGGCATCCCTCATCCCCCCAACCTCATCCCCCCCTCCATCACCCCCCCGAAGGAGCTCACAGGAAACCAAAGGGTGACAGAGAGACCCTGCCCCGGGGGAAGTCCAGGCGCCCGTTGTAGCTGTCCTCCAGCCCCTTCAGCTGCAGCAGGGCCAGGCGCACCTATGGGGACAGGGACAGGGCTGGGTTCCACAGGGGCACCCGGAAGGATGCTGGAGCACACAGCAGGTCCGGTGCTGCTGCAGAGGCAGGATGAGGCACAGGGGGAGCGTGATCATCAGTGTGGCTGTGACTCAGCACCGGTGGCTGGGGGGGGGAAGGAGGCAGTGCTGAGCCACCCCATGGGCACCCCAACAGGGGTACGTGTGGGGAGAAAGTCACGAGTGGGATCTGCTCATCCAGGGGAGGAGGATCCTCATCCCTGTCATCCTGCATGGAGCACAGCCAGGACCCAGGCACCTCTGTCTCCATCACAGCCCCAACTGATTTGGGTTGGAAGGGACCTTAAGGCACATCCAGCCCCAACCCCTGGCAGGGACACCTTCCACTGGAGCAGCTTGCTCCAAGCCCCATCCAGCCTGGCCTTATGTTAGCACGGGGGCCACCCAGGGTGCGGGGTCCCCTCTCCTCACCTGGTGCCAGTACTCGGGGTCCTCCCCCTTCCCCATCTGCTCCTCCATCCAGCCCAGGTTTGCCTCCAGGTAGCTCCGCAGCTTCTCGCAGTACTCGCTCTCGTACTTGAAGGGGCCGCAGTAGCCCACCATGGTGTTCATCCAGTGCATGTACATCAGCTGCGGGGCACGGCACCGCTCAGCGAGGGGATGGGGGGCTCGGGAACCAGACAGACCCCAACCCCACGGGGGTCCCCCCCTTACCTCCTCGGACACGGCCGCCTCGGCGAGCCCGGCAGCATAGGCCTGCAGGGTGTCGCTGTACGAGGCGTTGGTGCTCACCTCCAGGAAGGCCCATCTTGGGGTGGGGGGGGGAACACACACGGGTTAGAACCGGGGCACCCCCGCCCCCGACGGCTCCCCGCGAGCCCCCGTCGCGCCCGGTCCCTACCCCACGGCGGGGATGCGGTCGTCGAGGCTGGCCCAGGCGACAGCGGCGGGGCTGCGGCCGGGCAGGACGCGGAGCCCCGAGCGCGGCTCCAGCACCACCGAGACGTTGCGGGGCTGCGGCGGGACGGGAGCGGGGCTGGGCCCGGTGCGGGGGGCTCCGGGCAGGGCTGCGGACACCGCGCACAGCAGCAGCGGCAGCGGCAGCCCCGACACCGCCATGGCGGGCACGGAGCGGAGGGGCAGGGACAGAGGCGGGGCTTGCGATGGCCGCGCCGCCCCGTCGGGTCCCGCTGCCCGCCCCGGGTGCCCCCATCCTGCCCCCAGCCCCGGTCCCACGGGCGGGGCACAAGTGGGTGCCCCCCCCCGTGTGTCTCCCATCGGGGCAGCCCGTGGGGAGCGGGTCAGGGTGTGGGGACCCCATTGGGGTGATGCGCGGGGTGTGGGTGCCCTGTGGGCAGTCCCCGTTTACTGCAGGCAAAGTCCCCTTGGGGCGCGGTGGGGCGGGCACAGAGGCCTCGGAGCCCCCCCCCCCAGCATCCCTGCACCGCCGTGTGTCACCCCCAGCACCACCTGAGGGCTGGTGCACTCGTGCCGTGCCATGGAACAGGGGGAGGGAGGGATGGGGCTGGACCCCACAGCGGGGGCACCCAGTGTGGGTCCGTCCGGGTCCGCGTGCCCAGCAGCATCAGTAATGCCCTTTATTGGATCAGCTGGAAAAGGTGCCACACGCTTGGGGCTATTCCGGGCTGCGCAGCACCCGAAGGCACCGCACGGGTGGATCCCGGATCCAGCGCTCCCAAATCCCTGTGCTCGGTGCTGTATGAGCCACCCAGCCCCGCACCTACAACGGGGGGAGCGCGGGGCACCCACCGAGAGCAGGACCCGGGCCGCGCAGCCAAAGCTCCCCGGTGCGGTCACAGGGCCCCACCGGGGCAGCACCCTCAGACCATGCCTGCGATGAGCTCAGAGAGGGTGCCCCCCAGAACAGGGGCGCATCCCGCGGGGTGCGTGTCCCGCACAGGGCACCGGGACGCGGAGGGAGCTCCGTGTGCAGCCCACAGCGGCGCGGTCGCTTTAAGAGCGGAGGGTGGCGGCCCCTTTAAGATGCGGGCGGGGCGGTGGGGATCAGCTGCCCGCGCACAGCAGCGCGGCCGCGGCGCCGGGGTGGGTGCGCGGGGCGGGAGGGGACCTCGGGTACCACCGGCATCCCCCCAGCATCCCCCGGCACCTCCATCCCCTCCCTTGGGGGTGGCCCCCCCCTTTGCTGCGCTCGGGGCTGACCCCCCCCCCCCCCCGCTGGGGACGTGTGGCCGCTTTTTATCGTTCTTTTCATTTTAATTAATTATTATTAATAATAATTTGATTTTTAATTATTTATTTTAACCTTTCCTTCCCCCCATCCGGGGATACGGGGATGGGGGCCCGCGACCTGCCCCCGTTCCCCCTCCCCGGAGGCCGCTACCAGCGGTAGGTGCCCCCCAACCCGCTATGGGGCAGGGTGCTGTGGGGCTGGCTGGGGTGCTGGGCTTGGCCGGGGTGCTGGGACTCGCCGGGGCGCAGCCGGCCGGCCCCCCCCCGCTGCTGCTGGACCCGGGGCGCACGGTCCCGCCCGGGGGGGAAGCGCAGAGCCACGGCCGGGACCTGGATGTGAGTGAGTGTGGGGCGGGGGGGATGAGGCGGGGTTCGGGGGGCCCTGTCCCTGCTGCCCCGTTCCTGCAGCCGGGCTTTCCTCCCGGTGGGAGGGGGGTGATGGGGGCTCTGTGGGCCCATGGATGGGGTCAAGGGCTTGCACCCCCTTGGCCCAGATGGGGAAACTGAGGCAGGGCTGACGGTGCCCAGCGGTGCCCCTTACTGGAGGGCAATGGGGATGGGACCCTGGAGGGGAGCCTCTGAGCCCCCCCCCTGCTCTGCCCCACAGTGCTGGGAGGTGCGGAAACACAACAGCTCGGAGTGGTGCCGCTTCATCCGGAGCAACCCCGACTGCCGGCTGGACGGCGGCTTCCTCAACTACCTGGAGGGGGTGTTCTGCACCTTCCCCCCCCGGCTGCTGCCCCTCGCCGTCACCCTCTATGTAAGGATGGGCATGGGGGATGCTCTGCGTTCGGGGCACGCGGTGGCACTGACCCCTCGCTCTGGCCCGCAGGCTCTCTGGCTCCTGTACCTGTTCGTCATCCTTGGAGTGACAGCAGAGAAGTTGTGAGTAGCCCCATAGAGGGGATGGTTCCTGGGGTGAGGGGGACCCCTGTGTCCCGGGGCTGCCCCGTCACCCTTCCCCACCTCTTCTGCCTTTCCAGCTTCTGCCCCAACTTGTCGGCCATCTCCACCAACCTGAGGCTGTCTCACAACGTGGCAGTATCCTTGGCACGCCATGGCCGGGGAGGGCGATGCTGTGATGGGGTCACTTTGTGTCCCCTCAGCACCGTGCCAGGGGAAACCCATGCAGAGCATGAGCCATGGGGTTGGGTGCTGGCTCCGGGATGGAGCCCTGTGGCGCAGAGCGGGCAGACACCCCATGTCCCCACGGGAAGGGGTCTTTTCCTTGACGTCCCTTCTCCATGGTGTCACCTTCCTGGCCTTTGGCAATGGGGCACCCGATGTCTTCAGTGCCGTGGTGGCCTTCTCCAACCCGCGGACGGCAGGGCTGGCCATTGGGGCTGTCTTTGGTAAGGAGACCCCCCCCATAGCAGGGGGGTGTGATCGCTGTGGGGCATTGCCCCTCACAGGGAACCTATTGCTTTGGTAGGTGCTGGTGTGTTCGTGACCACGGTGGTGGCTGGTGGCATCGCCCTGGTCAAGCCCTTCACAGCCGCCTCCAGGCCCTTCCTTAGGGATGTCATCTTCTACATGCTGGCAGTCTTCCTCACCTTCCTGGTGCTCTACTTCGGCAGGATCACACTGGGAGAGGCTCTGGGTGAGTGCTGCTGGGGCTAGGGGGCAGCAGGAGCATCCTGGGGGTGCTGTAACCCCCGCGGGGTCCCCATGCAGGGTACCTGGGGCTGTACATCTTCTATGTCCTCACCGTGGTGCTGTGCACGTGGATTCACCGGTGGCAGCGGGGCGATGGGCCGGGCCCTCCCGGAGCCTGGGAGCCAGGTAAGGCTCATGCCAGCAGGACCCCTGCTGTGCTGGGGTCTCCATCCACTGCTCCCTCCTCTCCTCTCCTCTTCCCCACAGAGATGCCGACGGATGCTGAAGAGCCGGAGTCCTCGGGCACAAACAGTGGGGACTATGGTATGTGGCTCCCAATGGGCCCTGCTCTGTCCTGAGGCTGTGACTGAGCCCATGGGGCAGCTATGGCTGGGTGCAGGGGCCACGCAGGTGACCACAGCCCCATGGTATAGAGGGGTCGGGGGCCCTGGGGAGCCCCCATCCCGCTCAGCTGCCGTATCCCCTTGCAGGTGAGGAGTACCGGCCCCTGCTGCCCTCACGGGAGCCCTCCCTGCGCATCCTCACCACTGCCCTCAGCCCCCTGGACTGCCGCAAGTGGAGGAGGAAGCCCTGGTACTGGCGGCTCTTTAAGGTCCTCAAGGTGAGTAACTGGGGACAGGAGCCAGGAGGAGCCCCTCAAAGGGGGGGGCTTGTGATGGGGATGGTTGGGGATGGAAGATCTTGGGGTCCCCTGCTCACAGCTGCGCACCGTTTGCAGGTGCCAGTGGAGCTGGTGCTGCTGCTCACCGTTCCCGTTGTGGACCCTGACAAGGATGACCTGAACTGGAAGAGACCCCTCAACTGCCTGCACATCGTCACCAGCCCCCTGCTCTGCATCCTTACCCTCAAGTCGGGCACATGTAAGAGCCCTGAACAGCCCCAGACCCCAAAAGAGGATAGGATGGGGCTGGGATGGCCACCAAAGCCCTAGGCACTGTAGGAGCCCTTTGGAGTCCTGGTGAGATGAGGGTGGGACAGTGCAGAGCTGAGCTGGGGGCCCTGCTTTGCAGGGGGATGGTTCTGTCCTCCCCATAGGGGTGGGGATTTGGGGCCCCCAGCATCTGGGTCCTAAGGGGACAAAGGGGAGCAGACTGAGGCACAGAGGGGAATAGCCCCATGAGAGCTTAAGGCAGAGGTTGCTTTAAGGGGTAAGGATTTACCTTGTACCATGAGCCTGGTTGGATCCTGCCCCAGCCCACTTTGATGCTCCTTCTTTCCTCCATGTGCAGATGGGCTGTACCAGATCCAGGGCGTCTTCCCAGTCTGGGCACTGGTCACACTGGTTGGCTCTGTCCTGGCCATCATCATCTTCATCACCACAAGCAATGAGGAGCCACCCAAGTACCACTGCGTAAGGTGTCCCCCAGCCCTGAGTGCGCACTGGGGACCAGTCAGGCCCTCCTTCCCAGTCCCCAGGAGAGACACGGCTGGTTGGAGCTGTGCAGGGTCCCAAGGGATGCACCCAGGGCCCAGCTTGCCCCTCTTCTGGGCAGGTATTTGCCTTCCTTGGGTTTCTGGCCAGCGCCATGTGGATCAACGCCGCGGCCACGGAGCTGGTGAACATCCTCCGGACCCTGGGCATCATCTTCCAGCTGAGCAACACCGTGCTGGGCCTGACACTGCTGGCCTGGGGCAACAGCATCGGGGGTGAGGGCTCTGCTGTGCCCCGGTGCCACCCCATGAGCTCGCATCCTCCTGGCAAACACCAAGGTTTCCCTTTGTCCCCCTGCAGACACGTTCTCGGACCTCACCATGGCACGGCAGGGCTACCCCCGCATGGCCTTCTCTGCCTGCTTCGGGGGCATCATCTTCAGTATCCTTTGGGTGTAAGGGGAAGGTGGTAGTGACACTTGAGGCTCCTGGGAAGGAGGTGAGCAGGATCCATCCCAGGGATGCTAGCAGCCTTCCCTATGCCCTTCCCAGTGTGGTACCTTTGAACAGAGGTGCTGCAAGGATGGAGCCAGCAGCATTCCCATTGCTGTCCCAGCACCAGTGGGGCTGGAACTGGCAGGTTTGGGATCTGCCAAAGGTCAGATCAGCAGGTGTTGGGTGGTCCCTGGACCAGGCTGAAGCCTCTCCTCCTAGAGTGCTCCAGGTTGTATTTGCCACAAGCTCGCAATGCTTTGGGCTGGGCACCAGCCATGGGGTGCAGCCAGGGAGGAGGGATGCAGCCAGCTCCATCACTCCCGAGGTCTCCTGCTCTGCTTGTCTTCCTCCTGAACGTGCTGCAGACATCCTGGTTGGTGTGGGACTCGGGTGCCTGCTGCAGATGACCAGCAGCCAGCTGGTGGTGAAGGTAAGGCTGCAGGGACACAGCGGCACGGGTCGGGGTGGCAGCAGGATGCTGGTGTCACCCTACATCACTGCCCATCTCTCCGGCAGCTGGAGCCCGACAGCCTCCTGGTGTGGGTGCTGGCTGGGGCCCTGGGGCTGAGCTTGGTCTTCTCCTTCGTGTGGGTGCCTGCGCAGTGCTTTCAGCTGGGCAAGGCCTATGGCATCTGCCTCATCCTCTACTACCTGGCCTTCCTCTGCGTGGCCCTGCTCACCGAGTTCAGGGTGATCCGGCTCTCCGCAGCGTGAGCAGCCCCGCTGCTGGCAGGAGATGCGCATCCAGCTTTGCTTCCTGGCTGGATCACTGGGAATCCTGTCCCCTCTCTCCATCCCTGCCAGGGGGACCAAGGGCACCTCAATCCCAACTGTGCCGCTGCAGGCATCGCATGCCAGCCCTCAGAAGCTGTTGGAAAGGAAGAGGAGCTGTGAAGTCATTAGCTACGTCTTCTCCCTGCTCTGTTTAAGCTTGTTTAACTCAAGGTGGCTCTGAGCAGGTTAAGACCTTGGCTTCCACTGGCCTCAGTGGCAGAGGAGAAGCCAGCTCCAGCCCATGGTCACAACAGGAGAGGTTTTACTTCTTCAGCCACTTCACTTTCCCTTCCCCATCTCCATCCTTGCTGCTCTGGGCCTGGGCAGTCCTGCTCCATGGGGTAACACTGCAGGTCTGAGAACAACTTTGTCACTGCAAAGCACATGATGTGTTTGTGCCGCAGGTTTGAAATAGCTGAGGCAGAGCGAGATGGGGTTAAGGTCAGCCGAAGCTCCAGGGCAGTGCAAGCAAAGCTGGAGCAAAACCAAACCCAAGGAGCCTGGGTTCCCCTGTCTTTTTAAGCTGTGTTTTTCAACTTGAGTTTCAGATCCTAATTCCCTCCTCCTGGGGTGAGCAGAGCTGTAGGGAGGTTTCCACACACAGTGTTGGCCTTTAAGCACTGTAAACCACACCGAACTGCAATAAAACCCCCAAACCCCAGCCTCGGCTCGTGCTGTTTGTGTCGAGGGTGTTCTCTGCTGCTCAGGGGGAGCGTCACACAGCCCTTACCCTGTGGAGCTGAGCCAGCAGCAGTGGTTTCCTCTGGGTTCACGGGCAGTTGATTTCCCAACACCAGTCACATGCGCCTGACTCGGCCGTTCCCAAGCGGAGCTGCGGTGTCATGCTGCTCCTGGCACGGGTCCACATGGGACATTGCTCTGCTCCCCGGGATGGGGACAGCACTGGGGTGGCCCCAGGGCCTGGGGATGCAGGGCTGGAAAGCAAAGGGCTGTTAGAGACACAACCGCATCTATGCTCCGTGAGGGGCTGTTTGGCAAGAGGCTCAACGGCCAGACCCGGTTCCTGCTCCTGGAGCCTTCCTCCTTTCCCTAACCAGACACAGGCTCTCACAAGGAGGTAACGCTCCCGGTGCCTGCAGCCACTGGCTCCGCCCTGGACCTGCTCACAAGTTACAAGCAGTTGCTGGAATTACGCAGGAGATGAGCCCCACTTCCTTACGCTCAGCAGGGTTAAAGCAATCCAAACCACAGCCAACGCATGGGGCCACAGAGCGCCCTCCTCACCTTAAGCACTGCGTTGGGGTAGCTGTAAAAAGCAGGGGGTTGAAGGGATTACCTTAATATTAGGGCAGGGGAAGGCAAAAGGGAAGCTTTGCATTGTCCAGGGCCAAGAATCCAGGGCACGCATGCGGAATGTGCCCACATAAGCAGTCGCCGCCGGAGAGGGCAGACACCTCTTCAAGTGCTTCAGCTGCAGCCGAGCCCCACTTGTGGAATTCCACGGGAAGGAGGAACGGAAGCCGCTGCCTTTACAAAGCCCAGGATGCTTTTTATTAGTGTGCTTGGAAAAAAAAAAACGATCTAGAGAACATTTTACAGCTGTGTCCATAAAATCATGTGCTAAACAACCCCAGCATACAAAACCCTGCAGTGCTTCCTCCCTTGCTCCCTACAGCATGATTGTCTCTGTCGTCAGTCTGTGTGTCAGGTGGGGAGAGGAGGAGAAATAGAAGGGGATGCCCCGTACTCGAACTTTGTTTCCTTCCAAAACCATATGGAAGAAGTAAACTGTGACCCTTCTTGGTGTACAAAAATATACAGTCTGTACATGGGGGCAGCTCAACACCTCAGGAGCTGTGGAAGCAGTGCCTGAGCCCTGAACCCCATCCAAGCATTCCCACCTCCGTGACAGCCCTGGTATTGCATGGGAAGCAGGTTAGTGCCCCCTCAATAAAGCTGCAGCTTCTGTTACACCCAAACCCCATCCCTGACAGCCCTGTGAGGAGAAATAAGCTGCAGGGGAGTGCAGTGCTTAAACACAGTCACGTTTTGCTTCCCCCTCGCCTTCACAGTGCTCATTCTTTCTGCCCACAACTTAACAAACACCACCTCCTCCATCCAGCCCCAGGACTAACCTGGGTAAGGCTCCCAGGCTGTGGCTCCCTGCAGAGCAACAACTGCACTGCTCATTAATTTGTGGTCGAGTTTATGGTTTGGAAAACAGCCCTTTAAGATCCTTCTCGGTTCAGCTCAGGAGCAGTTTCATACCTGCAGGACCCAGAAAGGAAACAAGAGTTGCCCTGAGGCATGCAGGGAATCTGGCAAGGGTTGAGAGCAGCCACTGCCTGGAAAGTGGCTCTTTCCATCCCAGAGCCCAGATGCTCCCCTCTGTGCTCTGTGCAAGGAGAGGGTTTCAGAAGCAGCTCTGTTCTTCCCTACTTTTGAAAGGCTCATCCACTCAGGGAATGCTCCTGAGCTGCTGGGCAGGATCAGTCGTCTCCCGCTGTCCTTGTGCCATGTTGTGAGGCTACCAAGGAAAACACAGGTATGTGGGACAAGGGGAATGGGGACACACAGATCTCCCACTGCCTGATCTGCCTGCAGGAAGGAGAAAGCCTCCCCTGCAAGCTCTACTCTTAGTTTGAGCCTGAAGAAAGATCAAACAGCAAGAGGCAAGGACAGCCTCACTTTCTGTGCTGTCAGGAAGAAGAAAAAGGGACTTACAAGAGACAGGCTCTCACCACGCTGTGGGCAATGAAACACACGCAGTGATGCAACCTGCCATGATCACAGAAGAAACGTGGCAGGATGGGAAGGGATCCCTCTCCCCCTTCCTTCCCACCCCTCAGCAACGAGGTCTGGCAGCCTCCTTGCCAGCCACGGGAAAGAATCGCTGTGTCCCGTGTTCCTCCTGCATCCAGCATTCAGAGGAACAGAAAAGCTCTTCAGTGGATCCTCCTAAGCTCTGACTCAGTCAGCATCTGCCAGGCTGAGGAACATCTCTGCACAGGGGAGAGCAAGGGAGGAGCAGCACTGCTGCACTGTATGAACAAAGCAGCGACCTGGCAGCTAGCTGATGCTCATAAGCTCTCCCTAACCCAGAACCAAGCAGAAATAAGTCAGACTTGGAGGAGCAAACTCTTCCATTGCTTCCTCTGAGTCATCTATGTGAGCTAAGGACCAGCCAGAGACTTGCCACTAAGTGGCAGAGGTCAACAGCCACCATCACCCTGCAGGATCCCCCCTCTGAAGAGGGAGAAGCTCTGGGGTTTCCAGGGGTGATCCCAATCCTGGGCAGTACCTCTGAACGGACCAGCAGCAATGCAGATACCGGATAGCTGCAGCAGAGACAGACTTTGTCTCCCCAAACTCCTGTCCAACCCATGGTCATAACATAGTAAGATGCTGGCCCACTGCCACAGAACTGCTCAGGGACAGCCAAATTCAATCATCAGAGCTGGATCTACTACAGGGGGTGCATCTAACTGTGTCAAAAAGGAGGGGGAAGGCAGACTGCTCTTCCAAAAGTGCTGAAATTTCACACAACCTCTCCTTTTTTGCATAAGGAAAGGTGGAGAAGAAAGAAAAGCTCATTCCCTGATCTCTTATTCCTAGGTTAATGGTACCCTTTAAGCAAAAGAGCTCTCAAAAAGGGCTAAAGTTTTAATATTAAGCAGGTAGCTCTGGCGCATTTCCTGCTGTTAATGGATTACACAACCCTTTCCCCAAGGTCTGTTAGTGGTAAGACAAACAGCAGGCTGGAGCCTGGGCAGTGGCTCAGGGGGAGAAGGTCTCTGTCCTGTCCGAGCTGTTTGCTCTGTGCTGAGCATGGCCATCATGCTCAGTGTGTGTGTAGCAGCCTTACACAGAGTCCCCTGGGCCTCTGGTTTCCAGCAATTCACTGCCTAGGGGAAGAGCTTGAAACCCTAAAGCCAAACACTGAACAGATCTATATACACCATCCCGATATATACGCTGTGAAGTAATACTCTAGGTTATTGCATAGAAGGTGGCTTGCATTAGCTAGGCCTAAATGACAGTCTGGGATCGTTGTCGGAGGCTTGAGGGCTTCACAGAGCTGTTGGAAGCAGATGCAGGCTCCTGCAAAGGTGTCTGAGTTTCCTCTTTTCTGGAATGCTCCTCATACCATTCCTGCAACAGGAGATCAAACACACCAAGATAAGGCTCTGCCCCACACTGGCCCTGCAGCCCCCCAAAGGACCCTGAGGGTGCTTGGCTGCTCTGCCCTTTGAGGGCACACCGCCTCAGGCTCCAGGGGCTCATTCCACAGCCCTGGACACAGCCCAACCTCCTGGAACAACCTGGTGAACTGCAGCATGGTTGTGATGGATGCACCAAGACCTTCCCACCCACAGTCCAAGCAGGAAGCACCAGCTACAGTTGGCTGAACTGATAAAACCTGGGCAAGGAAACATGCCTCTCTCAGGATGTCTCTCCTGAACCTCTCCAGCTTTGATGTCTGTGGGATATTTGGGATTCGTGGAGTTGCTCCCAGTCCTGGGCAGTATGTTATGAATCAGAGACCAAGCTGAATGGGTGGGGAGCTTCTCTGCAGATTTCCATCCACCTCCATGGTAAATAACACGTTTAATTTTATGAGGGGTTTGAAGACTCATCCCCAAGCAAGCTGCCCAGGGACAAAGGACAGGTTTAAATGGGTATGAAATTAATTCTTTCAGTACTAATCATTACATTAGCCCACGACCTTCAACCTGGAGGTGAATATCTGGAGAGGAGTACAGTGACCAAAGCCATGGCATAAAGCTCCTGACCACGAAGGGCACTAGCAAGAACCCCTCAATCTAGAGAATGACCTGATTTAAGCGTTTCCCATCTTTGTGAGCTTGCTAAAGGAAAACCAGGCAGGAGAACACTGTGTCTGTCAGCCAGACACACCCAAGCTCAAACACAACCACATTCCAGTGGCTTAACAAATCCACCTGCAGCAGCCAAGCCCCAGGAACACAGCACACGTGTACTTGTAGCCCCAGCAGACACATCCACCTCGATGAGTCCAAGCTCAGAGCCTATACACCCTGTGAATGGATGGAGCTGGGCTGACACACACCACGCTGAGCACCTCGACACACTGAGCAGGCTCTGACATGCTCTGCAGATTAAAGAAGCCCCTGAGCACAAGAACTGGTCTATTTGGAGCACACTTCATCTACTGGCCACCCTCCATGGCTGCCTGGGTCTTGGAGGAAGAAGGCCTCTAGTGTTTAAAAGGATGGTTTGTTCCTCTAGGTAATGTTTGCCTCACCAGAGGCTTGCTGGTGTTTCCAGCTGAGGCCCACATACCTGGATCTCCTCCTCATACATCTTCATACTCAAATCACTCTTGGTTCTTGATCTGCGTCCCAGAAACACTGTTGACATTTGCTAAAATGTTGGGGGAAGGAGGAGGAGAAAACAAAGACAAAGACATTCATTAGTCACTGAGCAGCTCACTTGGTCAGCTCCTGGAAGGGCATCCTCCATGCTGACACCCATCATCCACCGAGGAGCTCAGGCTATCCTGGGCTCCTTCTGCTGTCACGGGAAAAAGGCGTTTTAGGGGGCACCTCACCTAAACAAATGCAGGCATCTACTGCAGGCTGAGCCAAATTGCACTGAGCAGATCCCCACAGACTGCAGAGGGAGATGGGGCTCAGACAGATGTGTCTGTCAGTGGTGC